AAGATGCATCTATGAGATGGTTACATGTGCAATTATTATTAACCCGCAACATGGTGTTTTGCGCGGTAACTTGCTCAATAGTTTAATTGCGAGCATAATTCTCAGATTTTCTATTCAAGAAGTTCATCTTGATAAGTTGGTTTACATCACAGCTGGTTTAGCAAAATAATTTATTAAGTGCCTCCACTTAATAGCTAAATTATTGCTTATGAGAACAAAGTTATCTATATCAGTTTGATATACATTATATACGAAAGTATATTATTTTCTCCCCTCACACTGGTTCGGGGTCAGGAACCAAATAATTTTATCTTATTATTATTGATGTGCGGTGTATATTTTGATTAACACCATAACGCACAAAGATGGATTCTCAAAGTTGAGGAAGCAAGTTAGTTTTTCTAACATGAGGGGAGACAAGATACAACAGTTGAGAAAAAGTTACGTAGAGTGAATTATCATTTGTATATCTAGGTCCTCGAATACGATAATATGAACTTGAAGTTCATAAAAAGATAATTCATTTGCAATATATTGCAAAGCATGCCATATGCATTTGCTGACCCAAAGAAAGTAACTATATTCTCATTGAAAATGCTCATATTAAGTCCTAGAAGGACAAAGTCTACGGTATACTTAAAGCGTATAGATAAATCGGTTTCAAATAAAGCTTCTTGATAAATAAGATGAGCAAATAATCAAAGCGATCATAATAAGGAGGCAAGTGATCTAGAAAATCACATGACATAACACTTCATAAAATCTCGGGAGAGATTCAGGTACATGAATACATGAATGAAGAGATCTCCATGTTATGTCTTTATGAAAAAAAATATTGGAACCGATATAAAATGTTCGTCGACGACATCTATCATAGCTCTAAGTATAGATGTGGATCTTACGTCTATCGAATATAGACACAAAAATATTGGCCAAATGAAAGAGATACAATTCAAGTAGAATTGATTCCATAAGAAAGACATGCAGTTTTGTACATGTAGTTCAAATACTTAAAAGTATAAAGTCAATGATATGTGCAATCAGTTTTCAGTATCTTATTTTTCTAGCATGACATGAAAACTTGATATGCATCTAAAGTCTATTATATGGCTTATATGACTTAACTTATATAATAATCCATGAAGGATTTAGGTTGATTGAAGCATATACAATTCTTGATCTTGAAGTACCACTTCCTTAGTGCAATTTGTGCACATATGTATCTTGCTATAACTATAAACATGATAATGTGATAGCGAGAATACCTCTATGGAGATATTGAAAAGGCCATTCTACGGCAATTTATGAAGACATTACATCTCTATCAAGAATGATGATTTCAAGATGCAATATATTCATTCAAGTTAATATGGTTGATTTATTTATCAAGTCTCTACCAAAGATCCTTTTAAGATGGTGCACAAGATTGGAATGCAAATGCTTGAAGATGTGAATTGATGCTCTCATCAGGGGGAGTTAATGCGCGTTGCACTATTTTTCCCTTACAAGATTTTTTCCCACTAGGTTTTTCTTGCAAGGTTTTTTTTAACGAGGCAACCAAAAGGCGTATTATTAGATATGTGTACTTATAAATAGAATTCTATTTATGGTGAATGTCTATATTTAGGGAGATTCTAGGGTTTACTATTTGGTGGCTAAGTCACCATCTCCCTATGAATAGAGGGTACTTACCCCATTGTAAATCATCCCAATATCAATAAGAATTCTCTCTCTCTACTTTGCTATAGCAATACTCTTCTTCTTCTCTTATTGTTTCATAACAATACCAAAATTTTTAGTATAATAATAATGATAATACTACTTTTAGCTAATGATTCCAACAAAAATAAATTTATTCCCATAATTTATACTTGAATAACTCACCTAATCCCATAACTTTTTTTAACGAGCAAAATAGCTAAACCAATTTTTTAAAATAAGTCAAATCCTCAACTCTCGTATTTCTTAATTTTTACACTAATAGTTGATGGCATAAGTACTAACATAAACACCTCTGATTATTAACAGCAAATTATTAAATAAATGTGAATAAATTACCTAATATTTTTTTTATCTTCACCGCGATCTAACAATTATTATACATATAACATATGCCGTTATTCCATTAATGATTATTAATGTGTAATATGAGCAATTAATTATTATTTTTATTAATGATGGGTAAATCTTTTTGATCATAATCATGTATTTAATCCAAATATAGCATTAGAGTTTTTATCTCAACGTAGGATGATTGCTCGCCAAAATGACCTTAAACTCGTAGCTCAAAGCCTCAATATTAAGTTAAAATATGAATTTTGCAAAATATGATTCTCTTATATAATTGGTTTATTGCAATTACGAGGCCCTTGCCGCGATCTTGGGCGCAAAATCGAATCCAGCTTTGTTGCAGTTGCGAATACTCTTCTGCCATCGCGGTAACAAAGAGTTTTTCTAATCACATTTTACTGCTTCTTTTTCCACAAAATCTAAAAGAGGAGTAGAAATAACAAAAAATCATTAATGGAAATAAGGAAATTCTATAAACCTTAGTAAATAGTCATATAAAAAAATTTGTCACCTAATTGTTAGATCATGCAGCCTCACTAGTCTTATCTTTGAGTCAGAATGAAAAATTCGACCCTCGTACTTTACTCCCACACTTAGATTTCTTATTTAGGAGTTATTCTCCGTGTTTTTTTTTTCTAAAAAATTGTGCAAGACAACCTTGTAGCTAAAAGAAAAGATTTATAAACAAAGTAATGAAATATGTATTTTGAAAGAAAACAGAGAAAGCATCTCATGAAAGTTCTCTTTGAGGATTAATTTTCTCTGTATAAATACACTACAAAACTCATCATTTCCATCAACAAGAATAAAGGCAAAAGGGAAAGACTGCAGCTACTGTAGCAACTCAAGTATATGAAGATTTTGTGCCTTCTTCAAAGTTGGTTCAAGAACAACACTCTGACACTCTTCACCTTAATATTGAAGCATCGACTCATATAGTTGACTTCAACTTGCAGGGAACTGCCAGACTCTTAAGCTGCTGAAAAGACAGAAGACCTCTCTAAGAGATGGATTTACTAAGCAGGATATGCTGATACTAATATCCCTGCTAAGGAGCCAGCAAAGGAAGAACAAGTGAACACTAGTCCTAAAACCAGAGAGCAAACAGAAGATAAAAGTCTTACAGGGAGGCAGAGGGAGCCCTAAGAGGAGGCCTCAGAGGTCGGGGTGAGGTGAGGCAGAGGGAGGCCTAAGAGGTACTGGGGAGAGGTAATTAGGCAAGACATGGCCAGGATGCAGATTTCCGAGGACATGACCCTTGATAGGAAAGTCTGGAGGTCTAGTATCAGGGTTGTAGGATAGGGGCTTATAGATTTTTCGTACTCCTTTCCTGGGGTTGGGTGAGGTGTGGTAGGATTATCCATAGATGATTCGTGTATTGGTTTGTGTCCTCTTATGGTAGTCATTTATGGTAGTTACTGTTTAAATACTATTGCATGCCAGTTTATTTATGGTACTTATGATTTTTATGTTTAGATAATTATTTATGCGATTTATGCTGGAGTAAGTAATGTTGTTTGTGTTTTTGTTTTTGTTTTCCTTCTCTTCCTTGCGCCGAGGGTCGATTGGAAACAGCCTCTCTGCCCTCCCGGGTAGGGGGTAAGGCCTGTCTACATATTACCCTCCCCAGACCCTACTTTATGGGATTATTCTGGGTTGTTGTTGTTGTTGTTGTTGTTGAAAGCCGCGAGCAGATAAAAGTAGTTCTCATAGTCAATGTGAAAGTGATGAATCATCTGCTGATACGATAGGCGATGAAACAATCGGAAATGCTAGTCGTTGGCTGCAAACCTGAAGATGCCAAGGAAAATGATGAAAATGACTCTTCCTGCTCTGTTGGTTCTTGGTATCGGCCTCTATGTTGCCGATGTGATGAAGTCTACCAACGGAACTGAAGAAATGAGACTAAGCTTTCAGTAGCTCAAAGTAGGTTGGGACTTGGGATATTTACATGTCATCCCATCTATGATAGTGAACAGAATAACCATTCAATTTCTAAACTGTAATCAATCAATTTGTTATGAATCTAAAATTACAAATATAGTTTGAATAAATCATAAGTGCTAATAAGGTGAAATGGTCTGCATCTCATGATCTGCTCATTCAACTCAGCATATAAAGCAGAAAAAGGTATTTGCATCTAGGGCCGGTAAGCATCAAGCAGCAGTTAAGATATGAACTTATTTAAGTAATTGTCATTCTGTTAGACCATAATAAAAATGCAACTTAAAGAAGAAGAATTTTGTCAACTCCAAGACATCCAAGACATGTCTTGTAATTAAGAGGAAGAACTGCTAGAGCACAAAGAAAAGCCAGAGCATAGTCTTGCATTCGCCAATATAAGAAAGGAGGGAGAGACAAGACATAGGTCGGTAAGAATATAAAAGCAATCTCGTGGTTGAGCAGCTATTTAACAGATTAACTACTGATGATCATTGTCTATTGGATTGCTAATCCACAATTATATGCAAGCACATTATGACATGGTCATATGGTCTGTGTCCAATACAAGTGTAGAAGAAATAACCTGAAAAGTTAAATCTGCTCTATAATAGCATGTAAACGATTGTCTTATATGGTACATCTAATGTGTATCTCTACTCAAGAGAGAGAGAGAGAGAAAGAGAGTGTTTGTGTCTAAAATTAGACTAGAACAACTTTAGGAACAGGACGGATGTCCATCACCAAAGTCAAGCTTTGTTCACCTAATCCTGAAGGAGACAACAATCACAACTAAACAGAACAAAAGGAATAATTAGGGGAATAAACTAAGAATTAAACTGTTCAATCTTCCTCGCACTAGAATTTGCATTCGAGACTGTAGGGATACAAGATGGTGTCATTGCATATGATGGTATAGTTTCTCTAGGCAAATGGCACAATGATTTCACTGAAGAAGACTTCTCATTTAAAGTGAGCTCTTGCACGTCCCGCAAAATTGGAGATGCATTAACTTTTCAGCACCTATGGACCATGGAGAGGTATGTTCAGATTGAGCCATCTCCTCTTCATCTGCTAAGGCATGAATAGTCAGTTGCATCAAAACCAGTAATAATAGGCCAATACCATTAGTCGGAATGAGTACATAGTGAAAACAATAAGACGGACCTCTGATTGTATACATAAAGATGCCCTCCCCCGGCTGTTGCAAAGCTAATTCAGTGTATCGTAATTCGTAAGGATGCTCCATATGCTTTAGCATTTGGGAACATCGTCACATCAAGTACATCTACTCATGCTGTTGTAATTGTTTTCCATCTTTTTAATTTTACTGGATTTAATGGTCCCTGTAGAGAATTTTTACACCGTGTGAGATTAATTTGACCTATTCTAACCTGTTGTCTGCCTTATTTTCTCAGTAACTAGTTCCACTTATTATGTATAAGTTACATATAGTTATCTTTTAATTAGGTGACCTCTTACAGGGTGTATAGAAGTAAAACTCTTTTTCAATTGATAAATTATCTATAATATGTTTATATGATACTCTTATATTTTGACAAGTAAAGCTGATACATAGCATTTTAAAACAGAACTTTTCAACAGATAGACACCAGTGATTTCATTTGTAAGACATCCATGGTAATTCAAGCTTACTTGGTGCTGGCCAACTGTTCGCGGAGGAGATTAGCAGCTGCAACCAAGTTGCTGCGGCAGGCTTAACTTCAGTATACTTGTGCGTCTAGAAGCTATAGACAGGGTTACACCAGAGGATATTTGTATCAAGGACTGCAAGGATCTTGCCAATCCTGTCAGCAATTTGTTCTGTCAATGGAATTCTTGGCTACTGGATGTCGTATACTCCAGGGCAATCCAGCACCATAATTCACTCCCTCGCGGAACACAAAAAGAAGCTTCTCACCTGACCTGAAGGTCGCGCTGATGATCACGTCAACATCCATGTCGATAATTCAATGGATGATGATGTCATTGAAGTTTGAATCGTATGGTTGTAAATCTGTCACAAACAAGGGCCAAGAAGATTAGAATCTTGTAAAAGAAAGAAAAGTATTACTCCCTCCCATGCTTTTATTTTCCACTTTATTTTCACCTTTCTCAGTTTTTGTTAGTCCACTATCTTTATAGTTTTAAAGCTGCTATGGAAATCTCAAACAAGACTTTTACCACTGAAAATGCTAGTCCTAGACTTATAATGTGTACACATAAGGAAACCCGAATCGCTTCAAATATTAAGAGGGCAAAAACTATGATTTCCAAGATAAAGTAGAGTGGTATAACAATCAAATTATTAGAACTGATGTACCTCCTCAACCTTGATTGGAAACTCAAGAGCTGTTCTAGTTGCCATTGTTACAACTTCCGCTATTCCACTGGATATGATTTGTGGAGGTAAAAGGAAACTGCATCATAGTGATAACTATAGCTGAATAAATAAAGTGAAATAAAAATCAGTTATTATTTCCCAAGTGAAATTGCGGTATCATGTTAAGCAAAGAAGGATCCTTCGTTATAGCATTTATTAGTAACTCTACTGTACTTGCATCAAATGAGAAGCCATTTCCGGTCATTTCCTTCAAAAAAGTTATCATTTCACTAATTTTGCCAAACTTGAGAAATCCTCGCACAATAATATTGTAAGTGACATAATCTGGTGAATGACCATTCTCCTCCATTTTTCTTAGCATATCTTTAGCTTCATCTAACAACCCATCTAGACAAAATCCAGTTATTATTATATTGTATGTAATCACATTGGGAAACAATCTAGGCATTTTAAAAAGTCAGATGAGAAATAAGGGGGAGAATGATAATTGTTTAAAATAGAGAGGGAATTCAATTTTTAAAGCTAAGTTTGGGAGTGCAAAATGATTTTCACCCCTACACCTGCACCCTAAGTCCAACTCCAAGTCATTATGTACACATGTATATTATATATGTTACTTATTCCAGCACACTTCATGTTCCCACCGACGTGGGACTTCCACTTCTCAATAACCAGTAAAAGATTCTCTAACATGTTGCAAAATATTTAAGCTAATCTTCTTGTGTTTGAAGCAAATACACTAAGAGAAAGGGTTTGAAGTTTGAGAAATGAAGCAGAAAAACAGCACCTTTCAGAACTTCAGCTTTTGCAAACCCAGAAATATTCATCGTGTTATAAAATATCTTGCAAATCTAACTACAGAAGAAATTAGAGATTCAATATTTCATAGACAACAAAATATCTTAAACCATGACGGAGCTACACATGGAGAATGATCATAGTTCAAAATTCAAAATTAGTACAAAATAGCAAAGAGGCAGTGTCACCAACTCTAAAAGCCAGTCAAGAAGAAGCTGATACCTTTTGAAAGTGGTTGACACCTCTTTCTCTAATAATTCCAGCAATTGATTTATTTTCCCCAGTTACCAAAATCACCAAAGGGTCCAAATATAATTCCAGCAATTGATTTATTTTTCCCAGTTACCAAAATCACCAAAGGGTCCAAATATAATTCCAGCAATTGATTTATTTTTCCCAGTTACCAAAATCACCAAAGGGTCCAAATGTACGGTTTGTCTTCTGCATTGAAGCAAACAATCAATTATCTCAAATTCTCACCACAGAAGCAATATCACATAAGCATGCATATCTATACAAAAATGTAAATTTACCCGCTTCACCGCTTCATAACATAGTATCATCTGCTGTGCACAGCATCATCTTTCAAAATGTCAGATATTGTCGTGTAGGTAAATCAAGCTCACTTGGTGCTGGCCAACTGTGCGTGGAAGAGCTTAGCAGCTGCAACCAAGTTGTTGAGGGCAGGCTTAACTTCAGTATACTTGTGCGTCTAGAAGCTATAGACAGGGTTACCCCAGAGGATGTTGGTATCAAGGATGCAAGGATCTTCCTGATCCTGTCAGCAAATTATTCTATCAATGGAATCCTTGGCTAATGGATGTCGTATACTCCACTGCAATCCCAGCACCATAATTCACTCCCTTGCGGAACACAAAAAGAAACTTTTCACCTGACCTGAAGGTCGCGATGGTGATCACGTCAACATCCATGTCGATAATTGAATGGATGATGATGTCATTAAAGTTTGAATAGCGTGGGTCTAAATCTGTCACAAACAACGGCCAAGAAGATTAGAATCTCGTAAAAGAAAGAAAAATATTACTCCCTCATGCTTTTATTTGCCACTTTAGTCACACAAAAAAAATTGGTTCAAAATATTTGTCACTTTTGAAAACAAGAGGGCTTAACTATTCTTCCCAATCCGCCCGTACTACTCCAAGAAGGCCAATAGTCATGACTGACTTGTCTAAAGAAAAGACAAGAGTAATTAAATTAAAAGTCCCTAATGATTACTGTTACTGGATGAATTTTTAAATTAGTGTACCGAAACCTAAAAGGGTACCCCTTTAGAGATGAATTCACTAAGCAGGATAATAATACCCCTGCTAGAGAGCCAGCAAAAAAAGGTAAAAGTCTTCCAGAAATATCTCCAGCGGATAAAAGTAGTTCTTACAGGGAATCTGAGAGTAATTGTCAAATGATGCGACTGATGGTGAAACAGCCAGATATGCTAGTGCCTAGTGGTTTGGCTGCAAATCTGAAGAATCCAAGAAAAATGATGAAAATGACTCGTTGTGCTCTATTGGTTATTGGTACTGGGTTCTATGTCGCCAACATGATGAAGTCTGCGAATGAAGCAAAAGAAATAGGACTAGCCCTTCTATAGCTCAAATTTGGTTGGGATATTTGCATTTCCCTCCCAGCTATGATTGTGAATAGAATAACTAACAAAGGATCCCCTTTTCATTTCTAAAAAGTAATCAATCCATTTGTTATGAATAAAAAAAACCATCATTACAATAAATCATGCACTAATGAGGTATGCATCTCATGTGTGCTCACTAGAGGTCTAGGATCATTTGAACCCATTGTGTATAAGGCTGCATCTGCCTCTGCTTGCACGGTTGAACAGCAACTTAATAGATTACTTAATGATGATCTTTTTTTGGATTTCTAATCCAAAATATGCGCAAGCATATTCTGCAATAATCTCTCTCCAGAACAAGTGTCTAAAGATTAACTGACTTGGCGTGCTTCTGAAAAGCTAAATCTGCTCAATTACAGCATGCAAAGATTGTCTCAAGTTAATCTGTTTCTCCACATGAGAGAGAGAGAGAGAGAGAGAGAGAGAGAGAGAGAGAGAGAGAGGGACAAAGTTAACTTAGACTAGACCAATAGTGGGAACAGGATGAATTTCCAAGCCTGAAGTCATCTGTTTTTCACCTAATCCTGAAGAAGACAGCAATCGCAACCGAATAGAACAAAAAGAATAACTAAGGGGCATAACAAAGAATTACCCTGTTAAGATCATATTAATAGCCACTTAACTTCCACACAACACTTTAATGTTTGAGAAAATAAAATATACAAGTGCTTTAACTAGATGGTAGCTGTAATCATCCTTCATTCAGTTCAGCCTCTTGTGTTAAAAGAAGACGATAAATGTGAAAATAAGTATAGCTGAATAAATCAAGTGAAATAAATCACTTCTTATTTCCCAAGCGAAATTCAGGTATCATGTTAAGCAAAGAAGGATCCTTCGCTATAGCAGCTATTAGTGACTTTACTGTACTTGCATCACATGAGAATCCCCTTTCAGTCATTTCCTTCAAAAAAGTTGTCATTTCACTAGTTTTGCCAAACTTGAGAAATCCTCGCACAATAACATTGTACGTGTAGTTGTTTGGCGAACAACCATTGTCCTCCATTTTTGTTAGCATATCTTTGGCTTCATCTAACAACCCTTCTAGACATAATCCATTTATTATTGTAGTGTATGTAATTACATTGGGAAACAATCCAATCAAAGAAAGCTTCTCAAAAATTGCATGAGCTTTGTCGAGCTGACCATTTTTGCACAATCCGTCAATAATAACATTGTAAAGTTCAATATCAATATCATCTCTCTTTTTTTCCAACTCATGAAATAGCAACATAGCTTTCTCAACAAGTCCATTCTGAATATAACCATGGAGCAAAATGCAATTAGTGCATAAATCAGGTCTGAGCCCCATAGAAAGCATATCATCATAGAATTTTTGCACAATGTCAGTTCTTCCAACTTCAAATAGATATGGCAAGATAGTATTGTAGGTAACAATGCTAGCTTTCAATCCATTTCGAGAAATATCGTGAAACAAATGCATGGCCTCATCTAATTTCTTTTTCTTACAGTATCCATTTATTAATATGTTATAGCTAATAATGCCAGGCTTAATGCTCTTATCTACCATCGAATCAAAAAGTCTCCTTGCTTTATCCATTTGACCGCGCAAGCAATATCCATTGATCATCGCATTGTAGGTGAATACATCTGGCTCTACACCTTTTACAATCATGTGTCTCATTACCTCCTCGGCATCTTTATCTTTCCCTTCTTTGCATAGTCCATCTATAACTATGTTGAAGGTGCAGACATCAGGATAAATATTCAGATTTACCATTTCTAAGAACAAATTCCTAACCTTTTCCCATTTACCAAACTTACCGAGACCATCAATCAATGAATTATAAGTGACAACGTTTGGAGGAATGCCTTTTTGTTTCATCTCATCAAAAAGGCTAATAGCAGCATCTAACATCCTATCTTTGCATAGGGAATCTATAACAATGTTATAGGTGTATGCATCGGGCTTAGTGCTTCCTTGTTCCATTACCCTAAGCAAATCGAAAGTTTTTTGAGTATGACCCCTTTTGCTAAGCCCATTCATGACAATTGAATACATGAATTCATTAGGCTCACAAATATGCTCTTTCACCAACTTTTTGAACAAGTTAACCGCATCTTTTATCTTATTTTCCGCAAAGAGTCCCCTTAGTAAGGTGTTAAATGTGATAATATCAAATGGAATGCCCTTCTTCAAGTAAATGGCTAACACTGAAAATCCACAGTCAGAACGATGCATTAGGCAATAATTGTTGATCGCGATATTCAAGATTGAATCACTAATTGGGATGCCTAATTTCAGCATTTGTCGAAAAAGGGAAAGAACGGCAGAGTAATGCTTCATATTTACCATAGTCTTTAATAATTTGGAGAAGCTAAAAACAGAAGGAAGAGGCTGAGTTCTGACCATTTGACGGAATAGACTCACAGCTTCATCTAAACACTTGACGTTCTCAAACATGCTAGCTACCCCAAGTTTACCCTTTGCCGGAATGGATGTATTGCTATGAGAAGAAGAACAATTTCTGGTTGTAAATGACGAAACAGAACGGGAAATAGCAAAGCATGAGCTAAAGCGAATAACATTGGAACTGTAATGCAGCAGAGGAATTCTCCTCATCTTCAATTTGGCTAAGGAATCACGGTGTGCCCTAATTTTGTGGGCGGTGCTCTGATCTATCGGGGTCTGTCCTAATTTAAAATAATTAGTTAATGCCTCATATGAAGAAAAAAAAAATCCAAAATTTATATTTGGATAATTCACCAAAGACCCCTCACAGTTTTAAGTTTTAACACATTCAAATCAAATTTTCAAGAGACAGTACCATTTCCGCCAATTTTAATTTATTTTTTTAAGTTAAAAAGGGATAAAATAATTGCTCTTTTTTTTTTACAGAAAATAACACAAAATATCTATTTGAGCTTTCTATGAAATTCCAAGTGTATGAGTTTAAAATTTCAAATACAAATTTTTTATTTGTGTTTTGAAGTGTTTTTTTTTGTTTAGGATTGTTCTTTAATTTGTAGATTGTGGTGTTAATGATGATTTTCAAAGATTTTTCTTTAAAAAAAAATAGATACCATTAAGGACCTTGATGCTTGAAACAGATAAACTTAGTTGTCGAGTTTATAGTTTTCGTAACCGATTCTAATTGGAGTGTGCTAAAAATGCTAATTGGAGGCCTTGGCTTTATTTTAAGTCAATTTGGTTGAGGTTTTGGAGTAGGTTTTTGGATTTTTAGGTCAAAATTGAGTTGAACGAACGAACAAGACAAATTGTATAGTTTATACCATTTTGATATATTGTATATCATTTTGGCATACAATATATAATTCAAGAGTATACAGTTTATCGCAATAGTATATTTTAAACTCGATTAATTTATTTCTGTTAGCAATAAGGGTAAAGACGTGCCATTTGAGTAATAGAAGGGGTAACAATAAGCCACTTTGCAACCAGAGGAAAAATTTGCTCTATTTTGTATACTTTAGGTAAAAATAGCACGACTAACCAATATTCGGACTGGTCATTCAAAAATAGTCAGCATTTGCAAAGTCATTGAAAATAGCCATTATTTTGCTATAACATAAAAAGTTCCAGCATAATATAGTGGAGATCAGTGCATCTGTGTATGAACTTCCAGCATATTATGCAGGAACTCCAACACGCGGAAAGTTCCAGCATAATATACTGGAGATTGGAGCACTTGTGTATGAACTTCTAGCATATTATGCTGGACCGGTATATTATACTAGTACTGCAGTAAAATATACTAGAGTATTTTTCAGATTTTGAACAGTCTTTCGTTCAGATTTATCTTTACATGAAAAGTGGCTAAACTTCGATTACTTTTAATGTTGTGGCTATTTTTGAATGAACACTTGTAAATTTGGCCATTTTTGAATTTTCCCATACTTTAGGGGTAAATTTGGCCATTTTCCTATTTAATGAACATGTAGTGGGTAGAGTCAGTTAAATAATTTGGAATACCTATAGCCGGGTAAATTATTTGGTTGTGTATGTAATTGTGAAGTTATCCTCTCTTTTTTCTAACAAACAAAAAAAGTAAATTCACACATGTACTTGCACTAAATTCTTTTTTAAAAGTCTGGACGAGACTTTGGAAGAGTGGCTTTGTGTTGAGGTTGCTTTTGACGGGCTTGTGAACAATTCAGTAAAAAAAAAACTAGTGAAAACTATGTACGTATAGTATAACCGCCAGTTCAAATCAATTGAATCGAGCATGTCCTGCTCATTCTCTTTTTCCCGTTCCTGACCCTAAGTGTGGAGGGGTTAGCCTTAAGCGAGGTCTTGATTGTTTATTTCATTTTGTCAGTTTAATTATTAAAATGGGAGTTACGGATATTTATTCCTAAAATTCTGTGACTCTCGAATTTCTCAAATTTTACCCTTTTAATTAATAGTATAAGTACTAAAAAAACACTCAGACTGTTAATAAAATGGTTTAGTAGATGTGAAGAAATCACATTGTATTTTTTGTCTTCACCGCAATTACGAAGAATATACATATTAAATATGCCATTATTCTATTAGTGATTATTAACGTATAATATGGGCAGTTAATTATTATTTACTATTAATAATATTTAATTTTTTTTGGCCAGATCATAATCATGCATTTAACCAAAAATATAGCCAATACATTCAAAAATTTATCTTCAGAATCATTATCTAGTTCATAGGATGATTCCACACAAAAATTACCTTAAATTTTTAGCTCAAAATTTCAAAAATCAAGTTAGAAATATGAATTTCGTAAAATTTGATCCTTTTATATCAATGGTTTATTGCAATTACGGTTGCCCTTGCTGCAATCATGTGCGCGGATCGTATCTCGCTTCGCTGCAGTTGCCAAATACCCTTCTGCCTTCATGGTAACGAAGAGTTTTTCCTACCATAATTTACGTTAATCTCGTAATGTATAACATGATAGTACACATGCCATTGTCATTTGCTTAATTGTTTTGATTGCAACTCCAAGATGTATCTAAATTTTATGTCTAACACGCCCACAACCCCGAAATTCTAAGATAATAAATCACCTTATAATAAAGAAAAATGAGTAGAGTAGACTTATTAAAGAAAAAAGAGTAAACAACTTAGAAAAAGAATGAAAAAATGGGAGGCCACATTGAAAAAATTTCCAACTTCTCTCATGCTAAAAGATGAAGTCCAACAATAAGAAACTCTCTTACACTTTAGGTTTCTCATTTAGGAGTTCTTCTCGGGTTTTTCTTATTGTGCAAGAAAACCTTATAGTTAAAAAAAGGTTTATAAACAAAGAATGGAAATTAATTAAGGAACATGTATTTTGGAGAAAAGAAAGAGAATATCTCAAGAAAGTTTTCTTTGAGGATTTTCTGTATGAATAGACACAACAACATCCTTTCCATCAACAAGAACAACGAATAAAGGATAAAGGGAAAGATTGCATACTAGCAAAAGTAAGAAAAGAAACACAGAAAATGGGGTTCAAAGGGAGCTACAGCTGATGTACCAACTCAAATATACGAAGATTTTGTGCCATCATCGAAGCAGTGACAGACTTAGACTAGATGCCAATAGGAGAGAATCAATATTCATGCCATTCGCTATCTGTTTATTCCCTCGAATCAGTGACAGACTTAGACTAGATACGAATAGGAGAGAATCAATTGCATCTAACTCGGACTATATATATGTGTACATGTGTGAGCGCGTGCACTTGCAAGTATAGAGAGCAGAACCCACTAATTCAAAATTTTGGCATATTCCACAAAAGCGTTGCATGAAACACACTTGCTTTTATAGGAAGGAAAGTGATTTATAAATGAAAAGGCTACGACCATCTCCAATATATGAAAAGGCTACGGCCATCTCCAATGTATGAAAAGTCTACGGTCATCTCAAATGCACGGAAATGCTACGGCCATCTCCAATGTATGAAAAGGCTACGGCCATCTCCAATGTATGAAAAGGCTACGACCATCTCCAATGTATGAAAAGGTTACGGCCATCTCCAATATATGAAAAGGCTACAGCCATCTCCAATGTATGAAAAGGCTACGACCATCTCTAATGAATGAAAAGGCTACGACCACCTCCAACATGGCTGGGGCCATTGATTTAACATGGCTAAGGCCATTGATTCAACATGGCTAAGGCCATTAATTCATCATGGCTAAGGCCATCGCCGCCAACAGTCGACCCAATGTCGACTACGGAAAAACAAATGACTCGACGACAGTCGAGGTCAATAACATGGCTAAGGCCATTGACTCAACATGGCTAAGACCATTAATTCAACATGGCTAAGGCCTTTGATTCAACATGGCTAAGGCCATTAATTCAGCATAGCTAAGGCCATCGCTGCCAACAGTCGACCCAATGCCAACTACGGCAAAACAAATGACTCGACGACAGTCGAGGTCAATAACATGGCTAAGGCCATTGATTCAACATGGCTAAGGCCATTAATTCAGCATGGCTAAGGCCATCGCCGCCAACAGTCGACCCAATGTCGACTACAGTAAAACAAATGACTCGACGACAGTCGAAATCGATAACATAACTAAAGTTGTTGATTCAGCATGGCTAAGGCCATCACCATCAACAGTCGACCCAATGTCGACTACGGCGAAACAAATAACTCGACGAAAGTCGAAGTCATTTACTTGGCCAAGGTCATCAACCCCATCACGGCTAAAGGCCATCGAGTCTACACGGCTAAGGCTCCAACAACGGTCGAAATTACCTATGTCGACCTAAGTTCAAACTACAACCAGAATCATGAAAGTAACAATTGCAGATGTGACAAAAATTCTAAGGAACAAAAGAAGAGTAACAACGGGAAAGAAGCATGTACTATTATCTCCAGAAGAGTGTATTTACATCCGACCTCAGAAAGAGGTCCCATTTACATCAAAAATAAAAAAAGTATAGACACAAAATCCTAAGAACCTCCACCATCCCGCCCGTCACGACCGACATCTGGCCCATTACCACCTCTAGGGGCATAATCTTTAGAGATCAAGGAGGCGGAATCCAGATGGTTGACATCATCAGAGTTGTACTTCTCCCGACCAGGCGAGTCGGAGCCATAACCGGCCGCCTCACGAACAACGCAGGACTGGCGCCATTCCTTCTCAACTTCCACCTCGGAGGCCCGACCAGCTGCCAAAAGCTTTTCGAACACAACCAACCGGGCTTCCTGATACACCCACATCTCATGCGCACCCCGACGCTCATCGTCTTGTGGGGTAGCCCGCCTAAGGACCTCAATTTCGGCCTCCCTGCTCTAAGTTTAGCAGTTAAGGCTTCCACCCGAGTCCGAAGTTCAGCCGCCTCTGCTGCCACCACGCGGCCAAGCTCTAACTCATCCTCCTTCGATTGAAGGAGGGCCTCCAGCTCAGTATTCCGTGCAACGACGGTCATAAGGTGCTCATCGGCATTCTCCAACTCAGCTACCCGTTTCTTCAACTCCTCCTACCTTTGCATGAGGCCTTCACAGAATAGACTAAACTGAGGATCCTGCTTATACACATCAACTAGCGTCTCGTGCGCCTCACAGACTCGTTTGTACTTTGCCGATAACTTCTTAAAGGCTTTCGCCCGCTCCACCGAGCGTCTCCCCCTCTCCGCCTCCAAGATAAGAGTCTGAGAAACATCAAAGGAAAGGTTAGTACGTGGGTAAGCCACCCCCAAAACACAAAAAGAAGGGGGATCAAAACATCTCACCTGCAAAGCCGCGCCTGCCACCAGTCGGGACAAGCCCCTGTCACTAAGCCCTGCCAACATCTCACCTTCGGCGCCCGCACATAGAAGCGTCATACCCGTGGCGGCCTCCTCAATTCTCCAAAAGGCTATAGCCACTCGGAATCACTAGGCGGAGGGTAGACCTACCGGCCATCATCTCGACACGAGCTGGGGAACCCCATCCTCGACCTACTCCACCAGTGTTGGCCTCAGGGCCCGCCCTCTCAGCAACCATGCTCATCTCCGCTGCATAGGCCGATGAGCCGCCTTCCCTAACACGAGGTAGCCCGGCCTCGATATCAGCTCTCCTTCAAAGAACAATCCTCCCCGAACGGATTGCATCGGCCATGAAAAGCCGCTCCGACTCACGACGAGGTAAAACTACCTCCCCATCTCCAATAGCTACAGCTTTGCCAGCGACCAGCCGGCGCTTTCTCTTCTCTAGCGGCTCATCATCTTCGGGAGCCGCCTCCTCTGACTGCAAAGGCGACCCCCCAAAGGGACCGCCTCATTAATAGACGTGGCCCCGGTCCCCCTCACGGGTACGGTCACGGGCGTCGTCACAAGAACCTCTGCAGACGCCACATCCATCGTCGCCTCGGGCTCCGCCTCGGGCTCCGCCTCGGATATCACCTCCGGCGTGACCCGTTGCCGAGAAGTCGAAGGGGCGCTATTGTCAGGCGAAGCCCCCGCAGGAATATCCTCATTATCCGAACTCGGCCCCGCCCTAGACGGGCCAACAACAGTTTTCCTTTTCTTTACCTTCTTGGAAGTGCCCCGGTCTGCCTAGCAGAGGATTCGCCAAATGAAGGAAACCTCAGATCAGGGTATAGGGAAAAAGTGAAAGAACAAGGAAAGGCTGATACCAGTCGGGCCGTACATACGGCAGAACTGAGCCCAGGTACGACACTCCTCTACATGAGGTATCAACCTCGCCATCCACGATTTGATGTCGTCCCTGCAAGAAAGGGACAAAGAATCCTTAGGCATAAGAGCCACAACTGTAAACAATAGACAGAAAGTTAGTAAGACGCCATGACATAAATTATCGCAAAAAGGCACGCAGGAGTACTTACACTCAGTGTTCCACACTTCCGGAAACCCTTCGGGGTTAGCCACCAGGTGTTCCATCCTAATGAAAAAGAATCTCTTCCAGAAGCCGCGATTGGCTTTATCATCGGATTACACCACAAAGTTTTTTTTGCCACGGCGTATCACGTGCAGCATCGTACCCCTCATATAACTTACGTTATACATCTGGAAAAGATGGTATATTATGACCGCACTCCCGCCCTTGTCCGCATGCGTAGTAAGTATCCTACATACCTTCAAGGCATAAGGGGTGAGTTAAGCTTGGCATGCTCTGAAGAAGCGGCAGAGTTCCTCCGCTAAGGGATTGAGCGGGAAGCCATATCCGATCCGGAACGCATAGTCATAGGAAGCACAGAACCCAGGTCTGTGCATATTGGCATAATCCTTTCCGGCAGGAGCTATATTGACGTGATCCGGGAATCCGTAAGCCACCTTAAGGGCGCCCAGGTGGGACAGCGTCAGTTCGCTGCACTCTCAGGCGGGAAGTGAGCTTTGGTGATTAAAGTCTGTCCTTTTACTCAGATCCTTTGGAAGAACATTAGTTACAGACAGAAGATCAAGCACCTTCTCCGTTTCACTGTCGGAAGAAGACGAAACCCTAGAAGGGGCATTCTTCTTGGACTTTTTGCTACCTTGTTGACGTTTTGTCATGATATAGTTTATAGAGAAAAGTGTTTTAGCGCTACAGGCTTCGATCTTCGGAAACAACAGTTTTCAAGTAGATCAGCAATCGCCAGAAAAGGAGACAAAGAAAGAAATGAAGAAATATGCTTTAAGGATTCGAAAAGTGAATCGTTTCTAACCGCTCTGATATTTATAGGGGTAAAGCACACGAAAATCGAAAGGGAATTATTCAAAAAGTGGCGCGGGAAACCAAAATGTCACATCACGTTCTGAGCCGTCTCGGGAACAAAAATAATGATGACGCACGTGACCGATGGCGTCACCCTAAAAAGGAAAACGGATGTCAACGGCCACATGATATCATATATGCGTGCATCCACTGTAACAAAGCATTTACAGGTACGGCCGAATGACTGCCAGAGTAAAAGTGTGCATATCCGTCCATTGAAGACGTCCATCGAGCACGTCTCCAACGAACGGAGGGGCTAACTGTATAAGGTAAAATTTGGCTTCCCATGCCCCCGTCCAAATAGGCGCGTCCTTTTATGTCAAGGACGTCTTCGAGTCTTGCCGATCCAAGCAAGGTCGGCCCAAACAAGGGTACGTTCTAATTACTAAGACGAAGGGACGACGTCGTTTGGAGCCTAGTTCCTTCCGTACGAAGAAGCCACCAACTTTTGTACTTACTTTTTGATTATTTCGAGAAATGTCTCCTAGTATATAAAGGAGACTTTCATATTGTAATAGGGGCAGATATGATTCTGAGCAAGACAACTTCTTTACTTTCTCTCTATCTCTCTCTAAATACTAAAGTTCTCTAGAATATCTCTTATACTCAGATCTGCTAAGATCTAAGTCGATAATCTTTTCTAGAGCTTATTATTATTGATTACGATTTACCCTTAAATCTTTATCGATTGTTTTTAAGCTTGTAAAGTGTTTATATAACTTTTCAGCCAAACAAAAACAAAGGAGGGAGACACAACACATAGATTAATTAGAACATAACAATAATCCCACGGTTGAACAGCTATTTTATTGGATTTCTAATCCAAAATTATATGCAAGCACATCATGCCCAAAGTTAGAAGTAAAGTTACACTAGACTGGAATAACAGTAGGAACAGGATGAATGTCCACGCCCAAAGTCATATTAAACAGAACAAAAGCAACAACTTAAGGGCAGAAGGATCAAATTAGTAAAATGCCATTTGACTTCCACAAACACTTTTTATGTTTCAGAAAATAAAATAGAAGTTGCTTTAGATAGATGGTTGCTATAATGATCCTTGATTCAGTTTAGCCTCTGTGTTCAAGAGGACGATAAACGTAAGTAACATGCCTCTACTATAGTACATAATTAGCTAAACTTCTCATTGGGGAACTCCAAGCACACATCAACCCATGGGTTGATCTAACAGTGGTCGACCATATCCATCTTTTCCTTAATCCAGGAAGTGCCCAAAAAACAGCCTTCACATCGGTTCCTATATCAGTCCTGCTGCACTTCAACACCTCATCCTTGTATATTTTGATATCAAGAGTTCTGGTATTTGCTGCTGGTTGTATCGAAATGTAGGGCAGCTGAGCAGCAGCTTATTAGTATGGTGTGGACTTACCAAAGCGATGCAACCAGTTAACTGACACCTGGTTGCATCATAGGGAAGATCCAGTTATTGCTTGACCCACCCTGCTTCCCGAGAACCTTCTCGTTGGCCCACCAATCAGTGCCAATAGTAGCTTTATCAGGATATCCTCCATCCACATTGTCAAAGTTGAATTCCTTTGAGGATCCAAGAGTGGTCGATCTTTGCTTCTGGTGCCTCTGTGAATCCTCTCCATCAGCAGAAGATCCCTCACGTATTTCGCTGGATGGCTCATTCCCGTTGCACTCCTGTCCATTTGACATTTCAGCCAGGTTTGCCTCTCGTTTAGTGTTACGCTCTACATCCTGGAGAGACATCGATCCAGTTTTCATCAACATCGTTGGCTTCTTTTCCACACACCTCACTACGTCTTCTGCAGTTATCTCGAAAGAAACTCTATGGTCGACCACTATTATCTTCACTAATAGGAAGCACAATAGTACCCATGGGGAAGACCTCATCAGGAACAGACCTGTACACTCTGACCCTGTCAAGAAGGAGGCACCTTTTAGTTTATGCAATCTTCGTCGAACTAAAATTTGCATTAGAGGTAGTAGATGAATTGGATGGTGTCATTGCATCTGATGATATTGTTTAGCTAGGAAAATGGCACAATGATCCAGGTGAAGAATATGATTTCACATTTACAACGAGCTCTTACACGCCCCGTGAAATTGGAGATGCATTAACCTTTTCAGCACTTATGGGCTGTGGAGAGGGATGTGTAGAGTGAGCCATCTCCTCTTCATCTGCCAAAGGCATTTGATTGCATCGGAAGCATTACTAATATGCCAATCACATTAGTCGGAAACTAATACATGATGAAAACTGAACTCTGAACTTTTATTGACTAGCAGAAATGGACATTGAATCCGTGTAAGGTTCAGTTTTGAAAATTTCACCTTCCAAGTCTGAGGAAATAGTTGAATGATCACTGGTACAAAAGAATTTGTCTAAAATTGTAAGAATTGTCAATTTGCGGCACAGAAGTAATTTATTTGATAGTCTTCCAGCTGCACTAAAATTCCATTCTTGTTAATCTCAAGACGAACATTGATTAACCTCAAAAGTTCTCTTAACATCAATATGGCTCAGGAGTGAAGAAGGCAGAAGAAGAATGCTTACATATTGTTAAAGCCATATAAGCAACCTTGGCGTCTTCTGCCTGTTTCTTGGACTGTAAAGCATCCCCATGAAAGACTTCTCCTTCAATGTCTACAACTTGACAAGAATATTAGATTCAGACAAGCAAAGTTCTTCATGTTGTGCCAGTTAATGCAGGAAATGCTTGTAACTCAAGTATTACTCTGGCCCAAAACGAATAAAGGGAACCAAAAAACAAAATAAAAGATAAGGTCACTTATTGAGACTATAAAATCCGTAAGAGTGGCGCATGAATGACATCATCGATTGTCAACTTCCGTGCCAATTTGTAAAGTGAAAACTGAAAAGACTACCCATTCGATTCATATTAGCTGTCTTTTAAGGATTTTGCACATCGCCCTTAACGATGGATTAATGATACTATTAAGTAGGGTATGTTAGCTATGTGGTAGTTATGTTAGTTAGTCAAGGGTATTTTAGTCTTTTTACCCATTTTACACTGGTGACTCGTGCGAGGGCAGTTGTATATAACAACCACTCTGTATTACATGCTATTTTTAATGATTTTTCCTATATTTAAACGATATTATACCTTATTATAAATTATAATGTAAATTTATTCAATTTATAAATAGAATATCCTTTATATTATTTCTCACATTTGATCGGCCTTCCCCAAACCAAAACAGAAAGGACATACCAGCTCCCAAGGGATTATTCGTTATTCCTTCATAATATAACGCATATTAAGTATATATTTAAGTTACAATTTCTCAGTGATAAATAGATAATACTTTAGGAGTTTGTTATAAAATCTGCCTTTACTTTTAATAATTATAAAATTTTATATCACTTGCATTGAGGATATGTTTATAAGGTTCTCACTAGTTTTTATTCTCAATTTTGTAAATAGATTTTTGACATTTGATTGTTATGAATACAATTATTGATAAAAGCAAATTATTTTATTTTAATTATTATTTTGCTCATCTTTTTTATTATTCACATCAATGAATTATATGCTTGGTTATCATATTATATTTTTTTTTACTTTGAAAGTAAAACTTAGCCATTACATAGGTAAGTTCATACTTCAAAGCATAGATATTAGAAAAAAGAATAATATCATGATACTAAAAAAGGTAAAAAAGAAAAAAAAAACGTAAAGAGACAAATATTGATAATATAGATGTTAAAATAGGCATTTAAAAATGTCAGATGAGAAATAAGAGAATGATAATTGTTTAAAATAGAGAGGGAATTCTATTTTTAAAGCTAAGTTTGGGAGTGCAAATGATTTTCACCCCTACACCTGCACCCTAAGTCCAACTCCAAGTCCTTATGTACACACATGTATATTATATATATTACTTATTCCAGCACACTTCATGTTCCCACCGACGTGGGACTTCCACTTCTCAATAACCAGTAAAAGATTCTCTAACATGTTGCAAAATAATTAAGCTAATCTTCTTGTGTTTGAAGCAAATACACTAAAAGAAAGGGTTTGAAGTTTGAGAAATGAAGCAGAAAAACAGCACCTTTCAGAACTTTAGCTTTTGCAAACCCAGAAATATGCATCGTGTTATAAAATATCTCGCAAATCTAACTACAGAAGAAATTAGAGATTCAATATTTCATAGACAACAAAATATCTTAAACCATCACGAAGCTACGCATGGATAATGATCATAGTTCAAAATTCAAAAGTAGTACAAAATAGCAAAGAGGTAGTGTCACCAACTCTAAAAGCCAGTCAAGAAGAAGCTGATACCTTTTGAAAGTGGTTGACACCTCTTTCTCTAGTAATTCCAGCAATTGATTTATTTTCCTCAGTTACCAAAATCACCAAAGGGTCCAAATATAATTCCAGCAATTGATTTATTTTCCCCAGTTACCAAAATCACCAAAGGCTCCAAATATGTGGTTTGTCTTCTGCATTGAAGCAAACAATCAGTTATCTCAAATTCTCACCACAGAAGCAACATTACATAAGCATGCATATATATATAAGGATGTAAATTTACCCACTTCACAACATCATAACATAGTATCATCTGCTGTGCACAGCATCATCTTTCAAAATGCCAGATATTGTCGTGTAGGTAAGTCAAGCTCCCTTGGTGCTGGCCAACTGTGCGCGGAAGAGCTTAGCAGCTGCAACCAAGTTGTTGAGGGCGGGCTTAACTTCAGTATACTTGTGCATCTAGAAGCTATAGACAGGGCTACCCCAGAGAATGTTGGTATCAAGGATCTTGCTGATCCTGTCAGCAATTTGTTCTGTCGATGGAATCCTTGGCTAATGGATGTCGTATACTCCAGCGCAATCCCAGTACCATAATTCACTCCCTCGCGGAACACAAAAAGAAACTTCTCACCTGACCTGAAGGTCACGATGGTGATCACGTCAACATCCATGTCGATAATTGGATGGATGATGATGTCATTGAAGTTTGAATAGCGTGGGTCTAAATCTGTCACAAACAAGGGCCAAGAAGATTAGAATCTCGTAAAAGAAAGAAAAATATTACTCCCCCCATGCTTTTATTTACCACTTTAGTCACACACGTAAAGTTGGTTCAAAATATTTGTCACTTCAGATAACAGAAGGCTTAACTATTCTTCCCAATTCCGCCCATACTACTCCAAGAAGGCCAATAGCCATGACTGACTTGTCTAAAGAAAAGATATGAGTAATAAAATTAAAAGTCCCTAATGATTACTGTTACTGGATAAATTTTTAAATTAGTGTACCAAAACCTTAAAGGGGTACCCCTTTAGATATGAATTCACTAAGCAGGATAATAATACCCCTGCTAAAGAGCCAGCAAAAGAAGCTAAAAGTCTTCCAGAAATATCTCCAATGGATAAAAGTGGTTCTTACAGCGAATCTGAGAGCAATCGTCAGATGATGCGACTGATGGTGAAACAGTTAGATATGCTAGTGGTTTGGCTGCAAACCTGAAGAATCCAAGAAAAATGATGAAAATGACTCTTAGTGCTCTATTGGTTATTGGTACTGGGTTCTATGTCCCAAACATGCTGAAGTCTGCGAACGAAGCAAAAGAAATAGGACTAGCCTTTCTATAGCTCAAATTTGGTTGGGATATTTGCATTTTCCTCCCAGCTATGATTGTGAATAGAATAACTAACAAAGGATCCCCTTTTCATTTCTAAAAAGTAATCAATCCATTTGTTACGAGTCAAATAACCATCATTTGAATAAATCATGCACTAATGAGGTATGCATCTCATGTGTGCTCACTAGAGGTCTAGGATCATTTGAACCCGTTGTGTATAAGGCTACATCTGCCTCTGCTTGCACGGTTGAACAACAACTTAATAGATTACTTACCGATGATCTTTTTTCATTGGATTTTTAATCCAAAATATGCGCAAACATATTCTGCAATAATCTCTCTCCAGAACAAGTGTCTAAAGATTAACTGACTTGGCGTGCTTCTGAAAAGCTAAATCTGCTCAATCACAGCATGCAAAGATTGTCTAAAGTTAATCTGTTTCTCCACATAGGGGGGAGAGAGAAAGAGAGAGATGGACAGAGTTAACTTAGACTAGACCAATAATAGGAACAGGATAATTTCCAAGCCCGAAGTCATTTTTTTCACCTAATCCTGAAAAAGACAGCAATCGCAACCGAATAGAACAAAAAGAATAACTACGGGGCATAACAAAGAATTACCCTGTTAAGATCATATTAATAGCCACTTAACTTCCACACAACACTTTAATGTTTGAGAAAATAAAATATGCAAGTGCTTTAACTAGATGGTAGCTATAATCATACTTCATTCAGTTCAGCCTCTTGTGTTAAAAGAAGACGATAAATGTGAAAACAAGTATACGTGAATAAATCAAGTGAAATAAATCACTTCTTATTTCACAAGCGAAATTGAGGTATCATGTTAAGCAAAGAAGGATCCTTCGCTATAGCAGCTATTAGTAACTCTACAGTACTTGCATCAAACGAGAAGTCCCTTCCACTCATTTCCTTCAAAAAAGTGATCATTTCACTAATTTTACCACACTTGAGAAATCCTTGCACAATAACATTATAAGTGCAGTTGTTTGGTGAACAATCATTGTGCTCCATTTTTCTTAGCATATCTTTAGCTTTATCTAACAACCCTTCTAGACATAGTCCATTAATTATTGTAGTGTATGTAATCACATTGGGAAACAATCCAATCAAAGAAAGCTTCTCAAAAATTGCATGAGCTTTGTCGAACTGACCATTTTTGCACAATCCGTCAATAATAATGGTGTAAAACTCAATATCAGTATCTTCTCTCTTTACTTCCAACTCATGAAATAGCGACATAGCTTTCTCAAGTAGCCCGTTCTGGAAATAACCACCGAGCAAAATGCGATTAGTACATAAATCAGGTTTGAGCCCTATAGATAGCATCTCAGCAAAGAATTTTTGCGCAAAGTCAATTCTTCCAACTTCAAGTAGACTCTGCAAGATAGTATTGTAGGTAACAATGCTATGTTCCAATCCGTTTCGAGAAATTTCATGAAACCAATCCATGGCATCATCCAATTTATTGTTCTTACAGTATCCATTTATTAAAGTGTTATAGCTAACAATGCCAGGCTTAATGCTCTTAACTATTATTGTATCGAAAAGTCTCCTTGCTTTATCCATTTGACCGCTCAAGCAATATCCATCAATTATCACATTGTAGGTGACCACATTAGGCTCCACACCTTTTCCATTCATGTGTCTCATTACCTCCTCAGCATCTTCAACTTTTCCTTCTTTGCATAGACCATCTGTCAGTATGTTGAAGGTGCGGACATCTGGATAAATATTAAGATTTACCATTTCGAAGAACAAAGTCCTAACCTTTTCCCACTGGCCAAGCTTACATAAACCATCAATCAATGAGCTATATGTGACAACGTTGGGAGGAATGCCTTTTTGTTTCATCTCTTCAAAAAGGCTAATAGCAGCATCTAACATCCTATCTTTGCATAGGGCATCTATAACAATGCTATAGATGTATGCATTGGGCTTAGTGCTTCCTTGTTCCATTACCCTAAGCAAATCAAAAGTTTTTTGAGTATGACCCCTTTTGCTAAGCCCATTCATGATAATTGAATACATGAATTCATCAGGCTCACAAATATTCTCTCTCACCAACTTTTTGAACAAGTTAACTGCATCTTTTATCTTACTTTCCGCAAAGAGTCCCCTTAGTATGGTGCTAAACGTGACAACATTAAATGGAATGCCATTCTTCAAGTAAATGGCTAACACCGAAAATCCGCAGTCAGAACGATGCATTAGGCAATAATTGTTGATCGCGATACTCAAGATGAAACCATCAATTGGGATACCCGATTTCAGCAATTCTCCAAAAAGTGAAACAACAGCAGAGTAATGCTTCATATTTACCATAGTCTTTAATAATTGGGAGAAGTCAAAAACTGAAGGAAGAGGCTGCGTTCTTACCATTCGACGGAAAAGACTCACAGCATCATCTAAGCACTTGACGTTATCAAACCTGCATTTACCCTTTGCCGAAGAAATAGATGTGTTGCTCTGAGAAGAAGAATAATCTCTGATTGTTATTGCGGAACAAGGACGTGAAATAGCAAAGCATGAGATATCTTTGCAAAAGTAACGCAGCAGAGAATTCTCGTCATCTTCAATGGCGAAAGCAATTCTCCAGTGAAATGCGCCCTAATTTTAGGATACTCAATTTTTGCAGTGAAAGCTAGTCAAAAATTCAAAATTTTGACTGGTTTCAAGTATCATTAGTAGTATTTTCAACGAGGAAATAAAACTTGAAATATTTATAACTAAAATATAAAAAAATTCTAACACATTGTAGACTTGTAGTGGAGTTTGATATGTCTACACGTGAAAAGTCACTATCTTAAAAGATCATTATATTTATGCTATTTATTTTTAAGACACTAATTAAATTAAGTTACCATTTTAAAAAAAAATTAAACCTTAGTCTTTTTAAATAAAAACTAATCTTAAGGTTTGCACATGTTCCTCATGTCAATGAATTTTTTTTAAAGAATATAAGTAGTATATTAAATAATATATTTGAGCTATAAAATAAAAAATAGTATTTCTAAATATAAGTTTGTAGATTCCATTTAGCTTGGTCAATAAGTGACTCAATAAAATTCTGTCACATGGAAAAAAATTGTAAAATGTTAATTATTATTTATGTTGTAATATCCAAAAAAACAAATAACCAAAAAAAATACTTTTATGACGATGATTTATCATATAATAAAAAAATAAAAAAATAATTTTTTTGGTCTTTTAAAAATATAAAATAAAGAAAATTAATAAGTACCTAGATAAGCGAAAAATTTCTAACGTTGAGTTAAATATTTTTAAAAAAAAAATAGCCTTTAAAGTTTTCATATTGATTTTAGTTGACCAAAAGGAGTTAAAACTAATAGGTCGCCAAAATATGAATTACATTGTAATGACGGGAGTATATGTTTCAAGAAAATTGATGTATATATATTAAATATTTAATTTGGAAAAAAATGTACATTAAACGGAATTTTGAATTGCTTTATCCAATTAAGATATATACGTGCCCAATATGTATGCATGCTTACATACAATGAAAAAGAAATATCTTATAAATGAATTGTTTGATTTATATATACTAAACTTCAAATCAATTTTAAAGTCCTGTACTATTAGTATTTCTTAACTAGTCAATAGCAAATTAGCAATGATGTAATGGTCAAAATTTTAGTTGATTTAACAACAACAACAACAACAAAATTTAACTTAAATCATTGTTTGGCTAAAAGTTTTAAAGAATGCTTTAAGCTCAAGAACAATCAATGTTTGTAAATGATGGGTAAATCGGAACCAAATATAATGAGCTTTAAGAGATAATAATGATAATATATTCGATAACTTGAGCAAGATAGAGAGTAGAGAGAGAGAGAGAGTTGTATATTCTTCGTTAAAAGATACACATGAGCCTTACAAAGAGGGCAATGTCTCCTTTATATACTAGGAGCCTCTCCTCGAAATACTAAAAGTGAAGTACAATAGTTGGTGGCCTCAGGGTACGGATGTGTCAGAGCCTGCAACGTCGCCGTCATATGTCTTGTCACCGAGTTGCTTTATCCCAACGACATTATTGCTTGGGGCCGTCCATACCCAGGTAGGCTTAGTCAAGGTCGTCCCCACCAATGCCGTTCTTATCAGGAACGTCCCCATTAAGACCGATCCTTCATGGACGAGGATGCCTATATGGCTTTAAGGTCGTGGGTAACCAAATTTGCCCAATACAGATAGTCCCTTCGTTTGTTGGGGACGTAGTCGAATGAAGTCTCTAACAAACGGACCAATGGACGTAGCCCTTCTTGAAACAAGGCCATTAACATGTTGCTTCCTTTTTGGATTTCCCTTTTTTGATGATGTCATCGATCACGTGCGTGATCATTACCTTCTACTTTCGAGGCGGTTCAGGTCATGAAGTGACGTTTTGGTTTCTCGCGTCAGAACTTTTTTGAGCTGCGCCTTTTCGGTTCCTGTGCACTTTTCTTGTATAAGTAGGAGAAGGGTTAAAAATTGCCCAACTTTCGAACCCTTGCAACAAATTTCCTTTCAATCTTATTTCCTTTTCTTCCTGGTATATCTCAATTCATCTGATATTACCGCTTTTGGGAATGGAACCCACATCCCCAGGATACTTTAAACCTCTTTATTATGTTATGGCGAAACGTGGTCGCAATCATGAAAGGACAGGGTGTGATGCCCCTTCTAGGGTTTCTTCTTCTTCTGATAGTGGAGAAGATGAGGCTGGGGAGTCGTTTGTTCCTCTATCACCGTCCAACGTGCTTCCTCGGAGTACGAAAGAAGAAACGAAAAGACTTTAATACCACTAGCAAGGCCTTCCCTTGGGAGCTTAGCGAGATAACGCCGTCTCGCTTGGACGAACTCAGGACGACTTTTAATATTCCTGACCAGGTGGAGATAGTTCCTGCTGGGACGGATTACGCCAATGTGCATCGACCTGGCTACTGCGTGTTTTACGAGTACGCTCTCCGAATAGGGTATAGTTTTCCTATCAACTCATTGGCGGAGGAGCGCTGCCACTTTTACGGGGTGTGCCCGGCCCAACTGACTCCATACGTGTTGAAGGTGTGTCGAATCCTCACCACTTATGCGGCCAAAGCCAATGTGGAGGTTACCGTCTATCATCTTCTGCAGATGTGGAAGGCCAGCACCATGAGAGGCACCATGCTCCAACTGGTGCGTCATGCTAACCAGAATTTCGTAGTGCGAACGGATGACAGAACGAATTGCCAATTTTGGAAGAAGTTCTTTTATGTTCGTACTGAACATCTGGTGTCTAACCCGGCAGATTTCCTGAGGAGTGGAATACTGAACGTAAGCAGCCCTGCATGTGCCTTTGACGACAATCTTCGTATCGTCGATTTTGATTACCTTAGAGAGTTTTCTCACCTTTCTTTTGTTTTTGCGCAGTGAGGGCTCGCAGTCCTGATGCAGTTGATGACATTGGGTCATGGATAAGGACGTTGACCCCGTTGGCCGAGGACTGCCGTACTTGGCCTGCCTTTCGTAGGCTGTACGGTCCGACAGGTATCGGTTTTTATCGTGTTTCCTCTTCTTATTTTCACTGGTGGTTCTTTCTTTGGAGTTTTTCTTTTTCCTTCTCTTTTCTGAGGATCTTTGCTTGCTATGTCAGGTCGAAATGCTTCTACAGGAGCACAGAAGAAGAAGAAGAAGAAGAAGAAGAAGAAGAAGAAGAAGAAGAAGAAGAAGAAGAAGAAGAAGAAGAAGAAGAAGAAGAAGAGAAAGAATGGGGCTGGTACCTCTAAGGTCGTACCCGAGTCTGATGGAGAGGATACACTCACTGCGAGCGTCTCTAGGGAAGATGCGCCTGATGCCGCCCCAGTTGGAGTTTCTGAGGAAGATGTGCTAGAGGTAATTCCCAGGGTAGCGTCTGAGGCCGCCCCTAGAGGGATTTCTGAAGAGGCCCCAAGGGCGGAGCCTCGGGTTGTTCCTGAAACGGACCCCTTATCGGGGCCTTCTGAGGAGACGGCGTCTCCTGTGCCGGCTGCACATTCTGAATAGGGAGGTACCAGAGATGAAGGATTGTCGGAGGAGAGGCGACGCCTAATTCGGGCTGGGAAGGCTGTGGCCGTTCATAATGAGAAAAAGCGCCATCTCGTGGCCATGGGCCGGTCTTCATGGCTGATGCCATCCGTTCTGGGAGACCCGCCCCTCGGCAGAGAGCCACTGAGGCCTCGACCCCGGCACGTGCTCAGGAGAGAGGCCCGCAGGTGGTCGTGGAGGGAAGGAACATAGATATGGACGTGACTTGTCCCAGAGCTAATGTTAGAGGCGTGGGCGAGGTTGAATCCTCTCGTCAAATGGATATGATAGCTGGGCAGTCTGACCGTCGTATAGTTATTCCAAATAACTATAATTTGCTGGAGAATAGCGAGGAGGCCGCCTCGCGTATGTCCCTTTTATGTGCCGGTGCTGAGTGTGAGGCGTTGACAGGGACGAGCACCAAGACTTTGTCCCAGAAGATAGCGGGCGCTGCTCTGCAGGTTTGCTTTTTGGTTTTGATTTCTTTTTCACCTCTTGCTGGGTACGACTTCCATCATGCTCATTTTTGAGTCTTTTTTCTCATTTCCTTCAGGTTCTTATTATGGAGGCGGAGCGGGGCTGACGTATTCAAAAGATGGTAGAGAAACATAAAAAGTTGGTAGAGATATGACGAGGTGCGTGAGGCGCACCGATCTCTGGATGACCTTTATAAGTAGGACCCCAGCTTTGGAGTGCTTTGTGAGGGACTTGAGGGATCTGAGGCATGACTGCAGAAGCGAGTGGCGGGGTTGGAGAAGGCCGAGGAGCAGTTGGTAGCCGCTGTTGCTCGGATTGCCGAGATGGAGCTTCTTATTTAGTCAAAGGATGAAGAGTTACAGCTTGGCCGTGTGGCGACGGATGAGGCGGCGATGTTGCGAGCTTGAGTTGCGGCTTTGACGGCAGAACTCGAGGCTAAGGAGACAGAGATTGAGGCCTTGCGTCGTGCGTCTGCTCAGGACGATGCATTTCAAGATGCCCATGAAATGTGGGTTTATGCAAACGCTCGCCTTGTCATGTTTGAGGAGCTCTTGAGGGAGGGACGAGCTACTGAAATGGAAGTTGAGAGGCAGTGTCATTTGGAGAGGGTCACCCGTGAGGCGGCGGGTTATTGTTCTGATTCACCGGCTCGCGAGGGCGTCAACTTAGCGGATGTTAACCGCTTGGGGTCGAGCTCTTGGATTTCTAGGGAGTATCGTGAGGGTAGGCCCCGTGACGATCAAGCGGAGCGGAGAGAGCCTGGTGGTGGCGGATTATAGTTTTCTTAGCACATGGCTTTGTACATATTTAGTTTGTATTATGGGCACCGACCTCCCATTTTTCTAGGTCTGTTGTATTCATGTTTCCTTTGTTTCCTTGGAGATGAATACATATAACTTTTTCTATAGTTGATTTTTAACTTTGTCGTAGTTGGTTTTCTAATTTTGTCGTAGTTGGTTTTCGATGGCCTTCGGCGATGGCTTTAATTATGCCACATTTGTTTTGGCGGCTTTGGCCGTTCTTTTAAGAGCGATGGCCTTGGCTATTCTTAGAAACGATGGCCTTAGCCATGTAACGTTTCCGTTTCGGCGGCCTTGGCCGTTCTTAGAAACGATGGCCTTAGCCATGTAACGTTTCCGTTTCGGCGGCCTTGGCCGTTCTTAGAAATAATGGCCTTAGCCATGTAATGTTTTCGTTTCGGCGGCCTTGGCCGTTCTTAGAAACGATGGCCTTAGCCATGTAACTTTTCCGTTTCGGCGGCCTTGGCCGTTCTTAGAAACGATGGCCTTAGCCATGTAACTTTTCCGTTTCGGCGGCCTTGGCCATTCTTAGAAACACTGGCCTTAGCCATGTAACGTTTCCGTTTCGGCGGCCTTGGCCGTTCTTAGAAACAATGGCCTTAGCCATGTAACGTTTCCGTTTCCGCGGCCTTGGCCGTTCTTAGAAACACTGGCCTTAGCCATGTATTGTTTCCGTTTCGGCGGCCTTGGCCGTTCTTAGAAACAATGGCCTTAGCCATGTAACGTTTCCGTTTCCGCGGCCTTGGCCGTTCTTAGAAACACTGGCCTTAGCCATGTATTGTTTCCGTTTCGGCGGCCTTGGCCGTTCTTAGAAACAATGGCCTTAGCCATGTAACGTTTCCGTTTCCGCGGCCTTGGCCGTTCTTAGAAACACTGGCCTTAGCCATGTATTGTTTCCGTTTCGGCGGCCTTGGCCGTTCTTAGAAACAATTGCCTTAGCCATGTAACGTTTCCGTTTCGGCGGCCTTGGCCGTTCTTAGAAACAATGGCCTTAGCCATGTAACGTTTCCGTTTCGGAGGCCTTGGCCGTTCTTAGAAACAATGGCCTTAGCCATGTAACGTTTCCGTTTCGGCGGCCTTGACCGTTCTTAGAAACAATGGCCTTAGCCATGTAACATTTCTGTTTTGGTGGCCTTGGCCGTTCTTAGAAACAATGGCCTTAGCCTTTCTATTCATGGAGATAGATACATTAGAGATAACCGTAGCCGTTCTATATATGGAGATAAATACATTGGAGATGGCCGTAGCCTTTCTATACATGGAGATGCATACATTGGAGATGGCCGTAACCTTTCTATACATGGAGATGCATACATTGGAGATGGCCGTAGCCTTTCTATACATGGAGATGAATACATTGGACATGGTCGTAGCCTTTCTATACATGGAGATGCCGCTAGTACAGTCCCTGTATCATGTCGGGCTTGTGAGTACTTTGGAGAGGTTGGCATGATACACTTGGTTCTTCAAACATCTCCAGGTGCTCCCTTCGTCGTCTTATTAAAAACCTTTCCGAGAAAACCCAATTGGGACAAAACTTGGATAAGGGAAAAAGAGTACGACTTGGGGGACTCCTGTTCAGAAGTGGAAATGTTTGAGATGTGTGACATTCCAGTTGTTTTGGAGTGTTTTTCCTTCCATGGTTTCTAACTAGAACGCTCCTTTTCTGATGGCTGCCGTGATTTTATGGGGTCCTTCCCAATTTGTGCCCAGCTTTCCCTCGTTTGGGTCTTTGGAGGCCAAAGTTTTGGCTTTGAGGACATAGTTTCCCACCTTGAGTGGTCTTGCTTTTACTCTTTTGTTGTAATACCTTTCAAT